AGGGTTTTTTTTTTTTTTTTTTTTGGCAAGGTTATAGTGAAATGAAAATGAAAGATAAGGAATAATAGAGGAAATCTTTGTCTTTTATTTAAATATTTTATCAGCAATTCAGTTAATGTGTTCACGTTGTGGTTTTCTAATTATTTAAGTAGTATTATTTCTCCTAGTAATAAGCAATGACAGATAATGAAAGTTCATTGCAGTGATTTATTTTTTCTTTTTTGAAATATACACTGGGTTGGAGGACAGGAAAGCAAAAACTGATGAAGCCTCTCTGGACTTCCATTTCCCCATGTTTTCCAGTGGTTCTTTAACTTTAAAGTGGTTCTTTCTGTAATGATACCAATTAAAAAGAGAATCCTTATATATAGTATGAAAAATGGCATTCTAAAAGGATTCCATAACATGTGTTTTAATCTTTTTTTTTTTTTTACTTTGTTTTAGGCTGAACAGGACAATGGTCATCCTCTTCCCGCTTTTGCCAGTCTACATATTGAAATACTGGATGAAAACAATCAGAGTCCATATTTCACAATGCCCAGTTATCAAGGCTATATTCTGGAATCTGCTCCAGTGGGAGCAACTATTTCTGACAGTCTGAATTTGACTACCCCGCTAAGAATTGTAGCTCTGGACAAGGATATAGAAGATGTAAGTTAAATATGATTTTTGCTCTTATTTTGTTAACATGTCTCTCGGTACATATATATGCCAGTAGGAGGTATAATAAAGATATAATTGCATGAGTTATAGAATAGAGAAAAAAGTCAGCATAAATGAAAATTTTAGTGTTGTAGTTCAATTCCCTATCAAGATTATGATTTAAAAAAAATACTGTTTGACTCAGCAACTGTTATTTTTCAGTTTACAGATATTCAGTAGAAAGAAGGAAATGAATGTTTCACTTGCAGTTTGCTAAAGTACCAGAGCAATCTTTTTAATTAATATGTGTTGAAAACTACATTTTTACTGATAGGGAAAAATAATGGCATTATACAATAAGAATAAAAAATCATACAAGCAGCTCTGGGATGCGATTTGGGAGACTTTTCTGAGATTTATGTTACTAAAGAAAACACCTTTTGGGGCAGCTGACCCCCCCACACACACTTCTGCCAATGACTGTTGTGATGCTAACACTGTTCCACTCCGTGCATCACTGTCCTGTTTTTCTGGTACTGACACTTGCTAAGGCAGTGGGGAATTGTCCAAGCTGAACAGATCAGAGTATTTTACCTCCTGAGCTACAGTGACTGCTACAAAGAATGGACAGAAAACCTTTACCAGTCCAATCTGAGTCTATCCAAGGATTGAAAGAAAAAAAAAAAAAGAATTGGAAGACTGTGGCATTATGTATTAAAGTGGAAATGAATCTGAACTCTTTGTAGCCCAGTTTGCTGACATCATGGAGAAAGCTCATGGTCAGTGGGAGAGAATGAAGTCTGACAGAGACACACAGAAAGGAGTCCTTCCACAGTCCCCATTTTCTAGGTTACAATGTCCCCAGGTTTATACTAATTCTTAAAGACTTTCCTTTTATTCTCTAACCTACCACATTATTTCCCAACATATCTTTCTTTTTTTTTTAACATACATTTCTGTCACTTGCGGCTTAAAAAATTCCAACTTAGCAATTTCTCCCATTTCAGCTCAGTTCAGTTCAGTCGCTCAGTCGTTTATGACTCTCTGACCCCATGAACCGCAGCACACCAGGCCTCCCTGTCCATCACCAACTCCTGGAGTTTGCTCACACTCATGTCCATCGAGTCGGTGATGCCATCCAGCCATCTCATCCTCTGTCATCCCCTTCCCCTCCTGCCCCCAATCCCTCCTAGCATCAGGGTCTTTTCCAATGAGTCAACTCTTCGCATGAGGTGGCCAAAGTATTGGAGTTTCAGCTTCAGCATCAGTCCTTCCGATGAACACCCAGGACTGATCTCCTTCAAGATGGACTGGTTGGATCTCCTTGCAGTCCAAGGGACTCTCCCATTTCAATAGCATCTAATAAAACTTGGTGATGGTGGAAAATATCTCGTAGCTATGCTGCCCACCACAGTAGCCACTAACCCTGTGTTGCTATGGAGCACTGAAAATGTAACTAGACTGAAATGTAATTTTAGCGTTTTGTTTAATTTGAATTATTTTTAATGTGAATAACCACATGCTGCTAACTGGACAGCATAGCTCTAGAATGTCCCTAAAATCTCATAACAAGGAGTTTTGTCAACAGTTTGGTAAATTACAAGAGTACTTCCAGATTTCTTTTCTCTTCCTGGAAAAAAATTGTAACCCTTAGCAACGTCTGTGACAACTCTTTGTGTGCACTCCACTTCTCAGTAAGTGTTTTATTTTACTTTTTATGTCTTTCTCTGCTTTCTTTATTCTCATCCTAGCTTTTTTGTCCTTTTCACTTTTTTGCCCTTTTCAATCTCCCTCATTTGTTGTTTTAACAATAGCTAACTCACATTGAGTTCTTAATACCCACCAGTGGTTGTTCAGTCACTAAGTCATGTACAACTCTATGCCACCCCATGAACTGCACCATGCCAGGGCTCCCTGTCTTTCACCATCTGGAGTTTCCCCAAGTTTATGTCCATTGAATCAGTGATGTCATCCAATCATCTCCTCCTCTGTCTCCCTCTTCTCCTTCTGCCTTTGATCTTTCCCAGCATCAGGATCTTTTCCAGTGTCAGCTGTTCTCATCAGGTGGCCAAAGTATTGGAGCTTCAGCATCAGTGCTTTCAATGAATATTCAGGGTTGATTTCCTTTAGGATTGACTGGTGTAATCTTGCAGTCCAAGGGACTCTTGACTCTTTTCCAATATCACAGTTCAAAAGCATCGATTCTTCTGTTCTCTGCCTTCTTCATGGTTCAGCTCTCATATCTGTACATGACTACTGTAAAGACCATAGCTTTAGCTATATGGACTTTTGTCAGCCAAGTGATCTTTGTTTTTTAATAGATAGTCTAGGTTTGTCATAGCTTTCCTTCCAAGAGCAACTGTCTTCTAATTTCATGCCTGTCATCACCATCTGCAGTGATTTTAGAGCCTAAGAAGAGAAAATCTGTCACTGCTTACACCTTTTCTCCTTCTATTTGCCATGAAGTGATGTGCCTGGATGCCATGATCTTAGTTTTTTAAACACTGAATTTTAAGCCAGATTTTTCACTCTTTTCTTTCACCCTCATCAAAAGGCTCTTTAGTTCCTTTGCCTCATGAAAGGGCAATACCTGCCAGACAATTTAATAAGTGCTTTATCTTGCATTAATTCCCTTAAATCTCACTGCAAACATAATAGTGCAATTTTACATATTGCAGAAGGGGAAATTAAAGCAATTTTAAATAATGCCTTTACTCTGACCACAGAGTTGGTAAATGGTGGAGTTAGACCTTGAGTCAACGTCTATGGGAAATGAAGTTACTGATTAAAATCAATAGCCTTTTCGGTTTTATACATTCTGACTGTAGTCTGACTACGTTAACAGCTGTCGATGCTTTCAACTCTTCCTGTTAAAGTGCGTATGCATACACAGTTTCACATCCCAGTTCAGAGAGGGTTTAGGGATCTTCTAAAGAGTTTCATGTCATTTAGTGAATACTCACTAGAAAATTCACAGAGCCAACTCAAGAAGTGTTATCCAGGCTAAGCTAATATATATTTGTAGGCCTGGTGTTGTCCCACAGCTTTTGGTGTGGATTTTTTTTTTCTTGCTTTCTTTTTATTTTGAATGCATAATTATTTTAAACAGTGATAAGTCAGTTTGGAAACATAATAGTTTAAGACGCACTTTCATGAACACATGAACACAAGTTAAATCCTGAAAAAATTGTAGCTTGAGTTTTTCCCTAAATAGCAAAATTTATGTGCTTGTAGTTTCTTGGTGCATTTATATTATTTAATGGTTGGGTCCTAAGCACTATACTTGCTTGCACACATTCTTTCCTGGATTTTCATTCACTTTAAAATTACAAATGTTAAAATTGAGTTAAAGGGACTTTGAAAAGTATAGTGGGATTTCAAGTTATTACTGAGTTAGGGTAGAGAGAGCTCCTGGCTCTTACACCTTTGGAAAACACTACTTAGAATTCTGCTCTGGAGACTTGCAATTCAGTTAGCCTGCTAAATACTCTCAAACGTTTCCAAGGTTTGGGACAGCACATTGTAGTTCTTTAGAATCTGTGCTCTGGAGTTATATAAATAGGCTTGACTCATAGTTCCTCCATATGATAGCTGGTATAATACTGTGAACCTTATATTCACTAGTTGCTGCCTTTTGTTCAAACACCAATAACCCAAAAAGATATCAGTCACTATTACCTTGGCCATCTCCTTCACTTGGAGCTGGCGATGATGGAGAGGGAGAGAAAATTTCCCTAAAATGAAGCCACGTACATGGAGAGAGACATAACTAATATGGTTCATAGAAATGTCAAATACTTAAACAATGTCTATCTGGTCATATTTATTATTTAGATCCATCCTTTTAGGTCCACAGAATATTAAACAAAGTTTAATCCCACTTCCTATACTATGTGAAATGTTCTATTAAAGTCCCTTCTTTAGAAATTGATTTTACACTTCATTGTGCCACTCCAGCTTGAAACGCAGGCGCTGTCTTTGATTTTTGTTTACTTGAGACAAAATACTAAATGAATATAAACAATTATTTTCATCTAAATATTAGATGAAAAGATTTAACTTCTAGAGTGAATTCATTTACTTTTTAGAGGCAAATATATCACCTCATGGGCTTCTCTTCTAGCTCAGCTGGTAAATAATCCACCTGCAATGCAGGAGACCTGGGTTTGATCCCTAGGTTGGAAAGATCCCCTGGAGAAGGGAACAATTACCCTTCCAGTATTCTGGCCTGGAGAATTCCATGGAGAGTCAGACATGACTGAGCGACTTTCACTTTCACTTTGAGTTGATTAAGAAATCTTTAAAATCTTCCTGTTTTGTCCTCTGTATATTTCCTGACTCTCTTTTCTCTCCACTCTTACAACCTATTTGTCTCTTATTAAAATTGCCTCCTCATCCTCTTGCTTCTATTTTTTTTTTAAATCTTAGTCAGATCCATCTTTCACTCAGCTACTGTTCAGATCTGACTATATCAGACCTCTGTGTAGTATGCTTTCATGACTTTGCTGCATGAAGTTCTTTGCAGAAGAAATTTCAAGCTCATGTGCATGGCTTTCTGTTACTTGATATCTGAACATTTTCTAAAACTTCCTGCTTCCATCTATTTACATTTAGCAAATATTTGTAGTTTCCTTTATTTATTTATTTTTAAAATTTTCATTTATTTATGGCTGCACTGGGTCTTACTTGCTGCCCGTGGGCTTTCTCTAGCTGCAGCGAGCAAGGGCTAGTCTTTAGTTGTGGTACATGAACGTCGCATTAAGGTAGGTTATCTTGTTGTGTGGCACAGGCTCTCAGGCATGCGGGCTTCAGAGGTTGCAACATGCAGGCTCAGAAATTTAGGCTCAAGGGTGGGATCTGTAATTGTGGCACACCGGTTTAGTTGTCTCCTCACATGTGGGATCCTGCTGCACTAGGGATCAAACCTGTGTCCTCTGCATTAGCAGGTGGATTCTTAACCACTGGACCACTGGGGAAGTACTGTTTATAGTTTCTTGAGTTACACCAAA